TTCCAAGTTTGGAATTGTCTAATCAAATCTCGTGCCTTTTTATTACTACATCCTCTCCTCTCTAGCTATATAAGTCCCCTGCATTTGATTAACTACGAGTTGCGAGTTGCTTTTTCTTATGATCTGCTCTATTCCGAGCTTTTGTGCCAATTCTAAACCTGCAATCACAACTTCATATTTTGCTTCATTATTAGTAATAGGATGGCATTTTATGGCTTGCCGTATAGTATCTCCCGCATGTGGGATTAGGAAAATGCCTAAACCCGCTCATTTTACATTTGAAGAGCTATCGGTAAATAGTGTCCAAGTACTTGGATTAGACCCGTTAAATACCTGCGTTCTTTTTCTGCCTCTGTTACCATCCCTAGACTAAAGTCTGCCACGAAATCTGCTAAAACCTGTGATTTTATTGCAGTTCTACGTTGATATGTGATGTCATATTCACTTATTCTATAGCCCATTTGGCTAACCTAGCTGATAACTCTTGCTTATACAATATATTACGTAAGGGGTAGGCAGTTACGACAGAGATACGATGACATTGAAAATAAGGCTGTAATTTTCTAGATATCATAATTAATGCTAAAGAAAGTTTTTCTAAATGAGGATATCGAGTTTTAGCATCTAATAAAGACTTGCTAACATAATAAATCGGAGATTGTTTACCTTTGTCCTCTCGAACTAGTACGACACTTACCGCCACTTCTGAAACAGTGAGGTAGATGAGTAGCTTTTCTCCATCCTTTGGTTTAGCCAGCAATAATGTGTTTGACAATTATGCTTTTAAATTTTTGAGTGCTTGTTGACACTCTTCATTCCATTCAAATTGACTTTGCTTTTTCAAAACAGAAAAGAACTTAAAGCTTTTCTCAGAAGATTTAGAAATAAATCTTCCCAACGCTGTTATCCTACATGTTAACCTCTGCACTTCTTTTTTTCTTGTAAGTATATTCGGTATTTCTTCAATAGCTTTAATCTGTACGGAATTTACTTCAACTCCACTATTAGAAACAAGGAAACATAAGAACTTACTTGACGACACGCTAAATGCACATTTCTCGGGATTTAACTTCATATTAAATTTGCGAAGAATCTGAAACGTATTTGACAGATGTTGAATATGATCCCGCAACTGTTGTGATTTGACTAGCATATCATCGATATAAACCTCTATGGTTTTTTCCAGATGTTTATGAAACATCTTAGTTACTAACCTCTGGTACGTGGCTCTAGCATTCTTTAAGCCGAAAGGCATAACTTTATAACAATAAGTCCCATTGTCTGTAATAAAGGAAGTTTTTTCCTCATCTAAAGGATTTTATTTGATTATATCCTAAATAGGCATCTAAAATCTTTATAGTTCGTGTCCTGCAGTAGCATCAATTAGTTGATCTATGTGTGGTAATGGAAAAAGAATATTTAGGGCAAGCTTTAATCAAATCTGTATAGTCTACATAAACTCGCCACTTACCATTCTTTTTGGGCACCATTACAGTATTAGCTAACCAATTAGGATATTTTACCTTGTGGATAGACCCGATTTTTTAGAATTTTTGTACCTCATCCTGAATTATCTGGTTCTTAAAGGATCTTTGCTTCCTTTTCTTCTGTTTGATAGGTGGATACGTTGGATCTTCATTCAGCTTATGGGTCATTATCTCCGGCGGTATACCTGTCATATATGAATGCAACCAAACAAAGCAATCTGCGTTAGCTTTTAAAAATTCAATTAACTTACTTTTCATCTCCGTGCTGAGGTTGGTTCCGATGTAGACTTTTCTGTCCGGCCAATGTACGAACAACACCACCGCTTCCAGTTCCTCGATTATTGTTTTGATGTTTTCATTTTATTTCGGTTCTTGAATAGTATCAGGCCTTGAGTCTACATCCATTTGTCCATCTATAGTTGAGGTTTGTGTTGCTAGATCCTCAACTAAATTCTGTAATTGCTATTTTTCATCTACAATGTCATTTTTCACACTTGAATCTGCCACTAAGTTAATGCTTCGGGAAGCTTATTGATCACCACGGATTTGCCTTATTCCCCATTGCAAAGGAAACTTGATAACCTGATGTAGGGTAGATGGAACAGCATCCATCTCATGAATCCACAGTCTACCAAGAATCATATTGTACGCCATGTCTATATCTGTCACTTGAAATTTGGTATCTTTGACTACTCTTTCTGCGAATGTGGTGAGTATTATCTCCTCTTTTGTTATAATGCTCGAGTTGCCAAAACCATACAAGGTCCACGCTTTGGGTACTAATTTATCATCGACTTGCATCTCATTTACCACTCTTAGAATAATGATATTTACAAAGCTACCTGGATCAATCAAAACTCATTTTACATTAGTATCATGTACAAGTAAAGTTATTACCAGCACCTTATTATGTGAGATCAACACGCCATCTGCGTCTGCATCATCAAATGTTATAATATCTTCTTCCAAAACTTGGTGAACTCGCTTCCCGTGGGAGACTGTTATTTTTGACAACTTCTTTGTTGTCGTATATGTTACGTCGTTGACCTCCCCCCCCCCCCCCCCCTCCGATTATGACATTAACTGTTCTTTTTGGTGATGGAAGTTTCAGTGGCTCCTGCCTATTCTTCATATATGCTTGCTTACCATTCTCACTAAACAATTCAGTTAAGTAACCTTGTTTTAATAGGTTCTCTACTTCGCCTTGTAGCAGTCTGAAATCTGTTGTTTTGTGATCATGATCGTTGTGAAACTCGCACCAAAAATCGGGGTTTCTCCTATTTGGGTTCGATCTCATTTTTTTTGCCACCGCACCTTATCTCCCATGCTTCTTAAAATAGCTACCAACTCGGACGTGCTAATATTAAAACCATAACCACCAATTTTTGCCTTTGAACTTATGTCATTGTCTCACATATCTCGCGTTCTTGCTCCTTTCTGAACCTAGACGACAAACCCGAATCTCTATCCTTTGATCTTGAATCATGCCTTGGGTTTTCTTGTTTTGAACCTGAATCCCTTCCTGCTGGTCCTATATAAGGTTCGTACCTGTTATTACCGGACCTTTCTTCAGTTTCTGGCCGCCTTGAACTTACTCTTTCATCTCTCCGGGACTGAGTGATAGTGTCTTCTTCTATCTGTAGCTTCGTGTGGTACCTATTGTAAACATCATTCCAAGTTGTTGCGCGAAATTCTCGTAAGCTTTCTTTGAGTCTCCTCGTGGCCTTCGAGCTTTTTTCATTTAAATTGCTGGCAAATGCCATAGCAGCCCAATTGACAGGTACACGTGGCAACATCATCCTTTCACGCTAGAACCTATCTACGAATTCCCTAGTAGCTTCGTATCTCCTTCTTTTATTTTGAAAATGTCTTTCATTCTTTTTTTTAACATTTTGAGCTCCCGAGTGTGCTTTTATAAATGAATCTGCAAGCTCAGCAAAAGAATCAATGGAATTTTCAGGTAAAAGAGAATACCATGTCAGTGCTACTTTCGTGAGTGTTTTACCGAATTTTTTGACCAATACTGATTCAATCTCTTGCTTGGTCACGTCGTTTCCCTTCATGCCAGTTGTAAATGCAGTTACGTGATCTCGTGGATCAGTTGCCCCATCGTACTTTGGGATATCTTGATCGTTCAATGTTGCGTCCATAGCTTGATCGTTCTCATGTTGGTCATTCATATTAGATTCAGATCTGTCAGGTGTCCCTTCTCGAGATTGTCGAGGAGAGTTTCGTGGTGAGGGAATTGGACTTCCATCTCTTTGTTGATTTTGCTGATTAAACTGATTTTGTTGATTTTGTAGGTTTTGTTGGTTATTGTCGTTGACATTCGACATGAGTTTTTGGCAGAAGAATAGATTTGAAAAGTGAAAAGATTATCAGATTTCCAGTAACGGAACCAATTTGTTTAATCAGAAAAAAGGAATTTTATTCAAAGCCTATTTTTAGAAGTATTCGGGTTACTGATAACCAAGAAAAGGGATATTTTGCAATGAGAAAGGAAAATTAAAGTATGAAATAGCAAAACAATCAATATAAAGCAAAACTAAATAAGTGTATTCTAGTAATCATCAGAACGTATCCCCACAATGACATTTCTCTTCCTTATATAGTCATCTCTAAGTACAACATCTTTTCCCCTTTATGATCGAATCATTATGAGCATTAATGACATTAATGAAACGTTATAATTGGTAATCGTTACTGTTGCGTGAAGATTCTGTAACGCTTGTTATCACTCATGCCCATTAATTGAAGATCAATGAACCTGACCTTCTTTACCGTTTTGGTTCATTCCTCCGGTGCTTCTTCAGATCACTAAAGAGACTCGAGCAACCGTTCCTTTCGTTTCTTGGACGTTTTGCTCGTGCCTATTAAGACTCACATCTTCATTAATACTCATCTTCAGCTGTCACTTTTCTAAAGATCCATATATCTTGCCATGTCAGGAACATAGTTAATTCCACGTGTAATATTTATTTTCACTCTTAGCAGTTATGTACTAGGTATCACTAAAGGTGAAATTCCTCCTTCCTTAACAAAAGATTTCAAATTTAATTTAAAAATAAAAAAATCCAAGTAGTTAGAGAGTACTTTCTCAGCGAATTTGAATTAATCAACTCAATAAATTTCGATTACTATAAGAACAAAAAAGTAGTACATCAAGGGCTGGTAAGTAAATTTCGATTACTATAAGAACAAAAAAGTAGTACATCAAGGGCTGGTAAGTACAACAAAATGGTCTAACATTTCATTAAATCTTATCACTGAGTAGTGTGTTTCTCCGTTTTAAAAATTGAGATCCTTCGCTACACCTAAATAAATTAACTACAACTAATTTTTTTTATTGAGCTCGACTTCCCAGTAAATTAAAATGTATGCCGCTGTTAGTTTGACTGAAACCTCTGTGCTAAAGCTAGATCTATAATTAGCTTAATATTTTTTGGCTAATCTCGTTATATATAATACTCTAAAAGATCAAGGTGATCAAGAGATTTATTCATACAAAACGAGTTCACTTCATAGCCTTTACATATATTTAACTTCTCATAAGAGTAAAACCAAAGACACTGCAAATATTCTCTGGACACACGATGGTGTGTTTATTATAGTACTAGTAAACTAAACGCCATTCTTATTCAGCTTAATTAGAAGCGGCACTGAGTAGGCTGGATGTTGCACATGCGGGGGAGGTAACGAGCTCTCTCTGACATGCGCTCTGCCTCTTGGCCGCGGCCGCCACGCTGCTGTATCACCATTCTCCTAAGTGCCTCGCAGCGGCATTGAGTGTCCATGTTCCTCAATTCCTGGCAGCATTGTTGGAGATGCTGCTGTCCTTGGTTGCTCTCCTCATCATCTGTCACCATGCTCAGCTCGTCGCCGTAATATTGGCGGCTTCTTGATAGGTACATCCTGCAAACGGTGAGATAAAGTTTTAGGATAAAAATTTCACGCAAGTGGTACAGCGTGTATAGTTAGTGTATACTCAAAATCTTACACGAAGGTTTTGTGTTAAACTTGTAAGTAAATTTGAGTCTATGTTGATTTTAAATGTAGATCCTGCAATTAGTGATGTACATGGGCGGAGCTTGATCATTAATTATGGATCAGACGAACCTAGAACCTTTTTATCTAATCCTTGCTCCTAGTGATGATGTATGCAACATCTTAACCTATACGATATATAATATAATTTTCTCTCAGTTTAAAGGCTCTCCTTTTATGTCTCAAATTTATAAATACTTTATGCACTACTATGTTGAAACAATATCAGTCCATTTTGTATGGTCAAAGAGAAATTACTGCAATTTTCTCAAACTATTTTCAAACTTTTGAACTATTATTAATTAATTATGTTGTACTACTTTTTATCGTAATTTTCTAATACGTAAATTTTTCTTCAAAAATTATAAAGAATTTGTGCGAAATTCACAACCGGGCATTACGGCTAACCACATCACGTAAAATGGGATAAAATAAAATTTTGTTTAGAAAATATATTCACACACATATAAGAATTCGTGAAGCTATATATACAGAACGACACCAAATAATTAATCGAAAGGGTGTCTCCTATTACCTGCAGTGGTTCAGCCTCTGCCTCTGAATCTGCTCTTGGCACCTTTGTGACCCCTGATTGTCGGTATCGTCCTCCGTCACAATGGTAGTGTCGGTGAAAGTGTTGGCACTTGCAACGGCTAACAAGCACAAGAGAAGAGCTGCAGCAAGTGAAAGCTTTGCCATGGTGATCAAGCTAAGTGTGTTTATTTTGAATATAGTAGCTAGGGAGAGGTGAAATGTTGTGATTGTGAATTCGATTTTAAGGGTAAATTTATAGCAGATTCGATGCTTTGCATGGAAAGTACGTGTTGTATCACTGCTAAGGTAGATGAAGAAAGTTAACAGAAGGGTAAACGTGGCTGGCTTTAACCTCCCACGTCAATTTTACATGCAAGTGCTGCCAGAAAGCTCTTTAATTTGTTCGGATTCAAAATGCAGCTATCTTTTGATTAGTTTACGAGGTTCCGTCCATATATGATCACATCTAGCAGTGCTTTTGCAGATTTGTCCATCTTGTCGAAGTTTTTGTAAACTAATGTTCCAAAATATAAAATTGAGACTCAAAATTGATTCTGTAGTCTATTACAAATATCATTTAATTTCACATATCAGTAAAAAAAAAAATACTCCATAAATCAGAACATAAGATACAAAATGTCTTTGTAGAATTATTTTAAGTTGGCATAAGTGTTTAACCAAAAATATGTTTCTTGGTCAAAATCTAAATTTAGAAGAAAATAGGTTACTGATAACCAAGTTTTACTTCACTTTCCCAATGATATTAAAGGAAAATAATAAGAATAACTAAGGAAATAATTGATAGACGAATTGCAAAGTCAAGGTAGAGAATTTCAAGAAGGCAGTAAAGTAAAGAATATATTTCAATAGTACTTTTGATCTGTCTCTACAAATAAAATTTTGCGCCCTTATATAGAAATATACAATTGTAGCCGTTTTCCCCACATAATTTAGGTTTATTATGGGCATTAATGATATTAATTTCCCATTATCTCGGATATCCATAACTGGCGTATTTATTGCTATAAATATCATATAACTATTTTGATTCTCCTTCCTTAATTACTTTTGGTTCATATACATTCCCTTCTTTTTGTTCTTCATTCATTCCTCCCCCATCTATTCTTTGTCAACTATTAGGCCCGGTTCTCTTTGTCGTACCATCTCGTAGTTGTTTCTCCTCGTGCCTTCTTTTCTCAATTAATTCTGTCAATTGAGAATGTCACTTGTCGTTATATCATTGTTCCATGCATCATACTATGTCAGTATTCCAATATTCCACGTGTAACGCTTTTTCACTACCAATACAAATAGTCCCCTCACTTTTCTAAATATTCTCTATTGAATATTCGGGGAAGTGGAAAGTTTTTATGGCGGAAATTTTCTGCCGCCGTTTTCCGAATACAATCATACCTTCTTCTGAACCGATGTGACGTATATCACGTCCATTTAATGATCATGCCACATAGCTTCTACAATTGATTCTTCAGTTCGTCGGCGCTTTTTAGGGCTTTTCTGCAGCTACATCAGCCACGAAGTGACGGTTCCATTATGACGCTTCATAATAACCTTTATGGTAGTGTCTCCTTATAAATATTTCACCCTCTTTTATTTCTTGAAGCCTTTCTTCTTTCATATTCACCTTCGTCTTCTTGTTTTACACTCTTCTGCATTTTTTCCTTGTTTTTCTTTGGATAAACTTGTCTACTCCTAATCCCCGTAAAGTTGTAATTGTTGACGAGTTTGTTTCTTCTAATGATCCCACTAGAAGAAGAACGGGTGGTAGGCTGCGTAGTCGTGGTTCTATATCTAACCGTGGTTCCTCCTCTCAAAGTAGTGCTATAAATTCGTCTTTTCTAGATCTAGGGCTCCTACAACCCTAAGATCTTCTCCTAGAGATAAAGATTCAGCTGAAACTATACGCGAACCTACAGTCGCTGAAGTTGTTCCTCAAGAGTTTTCCTTTATAACTGATCATGAATCTATGAAGAGTCAAGTTTTTTCCATAGCTTCCCTTGATCGTGCTGACTATTACCCAAGTTTGATTACTACTGGTCTTCTTGCCCTTGTTCGAAGAGAATGTTACTGGAAATCTGACTTTCCAATTTTAGTTTTTGGTGCCAACTAGAGAATAACTTCATACCAGACTGGTTATTCCTTCATCTACACATATCCATTTACCTTAGGATTTAAACCTCTTATTGATCCAGTGATCATTGAATTCTGTCGTCACTTCAATGTGTGGTTAGGACAGATTGGTCCAATTGTTTGGAGAGCAGTTGTATGCCTTTGTTATTTGTCGAACTTGGCTTTTATGCTTTTTACTTTCTGTCACTTGCTTCACCTTTACTCCCTAAAATTGTTTCGTGAAGGAGTTTTTTCCCTTGTGGCCAGAAATAAGAGGGTATTAGTTAGCCCTGAAGATGATAGAGATCATGGTTGGTATGCCCACTTCGTTGCTGCTCCCACTAGTGCTCTGGTGGGTGAAGAAAACAAGCCTTTTCTAGAAAAATAGAATTTTGCATGTAAGTATCTTTACCTTGTCTTTTTCCTTTCTCAAAAAAGATATGTATTCTCATGCCTTCTTTTTTGGCAACCATGGAAGGCTTCGAGGAGATCCCTAACTTTCGTGCTTGGGTAGAGAAGTTACTATCTGTTACCGCCATGAAAAAAAGATCTTGGAAGTATCTCTCACAGAGACTCGGCTGGAAAGTAAAGACACACGGTACTTTTTCCCACTTAATCTTTTTCTTTTTCTCTTTTGCTAACTTAAGAGTTTCTTACCATGCCTTTTTCCTTTGCTAAGATTCCCTATTCGTGGTGTCAATCCTGCTTCTATTTCATCCATAAGACTTTCCGTGACTCTTTCTCAAGAAAGAATTTTGAGCTCTTCTTCAAAAAGAAAAGTTGATGGAGCCCGTGGCTCTAAGGTTGAAGAAGAACCAGAGGAGGGTTATTTAGTTCGTAGACCTCGAGTTAGGAGGCGCGTTATTTTTTATGATGAAGTTACCCCTTCATCAAGCTCAGTTCCCTCTAGACTTTTGGATGAGCCAGAGAGTGCCCCATTAGTGATCTCTGATGAAGAAGTGAATGATCCCCCTCCGCTTCTGCTGAACAATTATTTACTCATGGCTTCAGAAGTGATGAAGCCTTTGAACCCGTTTCTGAGGAGTTTCCCCTTGCCTCCTTCCAATGTCAATCCCCATTCATCCCCGAGTTCCCTTACATGAAGTTGTTGCTGATGCTACCCCTATGACTGCTTCTACCTCATCTGTCATTCCAGTTGCTACTACTTCTCAGGTAGAAGTTGATCCTTCTAGTAGCGAGAAGGCGATGAAGAAAATTATTGTCGAGGTTCTTAAAGGTGGAAACTTATTGAAGAAGTCAGTTCAAGCCGATGTATGGTTGAAGCCTTTGCTCGATCCTATAAAGAAGACAAAGTTGGAGAGTCATAGTTCATTGACTTGGATGAATGATATTGTTCATTCATCTCTGAAGGTTCGAGTTTGACTCTACTCCTTTCTTTTCTTTTCTTTTTATCCATAACTCCCTTTTTTCTTTGTTGATAAATTTGATAGGTACAGAACTTATGAAAAGGATCGTCCATGCTGACCAACAAATTATTGATTACCACACCGAGGCTGACAATTGGAAAGAGCAATTTGAAGGTCTTCAATTGGAGAAGGAAGTGTGGGCAGAAGAGAATAATGCCTTAGAGCAACAAATGAGGATGTACTTGAGTCCTCATTTGCTGAGCAGCTTTCGAAGGCAACCAAAGAGATAAGGAGTTTGAGGGAACTCCTTGTCACACCTCCTTTTTACACATCCGAAGGTATATAAGGGAGTTTTTCCAATTTAAGTGACATTATTCGATATGGATTATTTATTTATTTTTTATTCAGAGTCGCCACTGGAATATTTTTATTGGTGTTCCAAGTCACCGGCTTATTTTAAATCCCAAATCGAGGAAGATTCGACTTTCCTTTTGAAGTCTGCGAACTAGAAATTCTGAATAAGGAATTCTGTTAACCCGAGGGAAGGTGTTAGGCATCTACGGATTCCGTGGTTCTAGCACGGTCGCTTAAACTATTACAATTGGCCTATTATCTGATTTTAATACATGTTTTAGCCTATGGTATAGTTTTAAATTATTAACCGATTTTAATTAATTTTAGGAAGATTCAACGTTACCTAAAACACGTCTTTGAACCACGCCACATGAAATGCACCCACGGTCCATGACACATTTTATTTAACGTTGTTAAGATTTGGATTTGGGTCACATGAAATGCACACCCTAGTTTAAGGAAATTAATTTAAATTACGCGCCTAAAGCAACTACGCACCTTCACATTTGTGAGGGCCATGGAAAATTCAACTGATGGCACACCTCCATTTCTAAAAGAGCTAACTAATTTTACGAGGCTTATGGGCTACTTAATAAAAATGGCACACCTCAATTTCACAAGAACAAACGCTGACCCACCAGTAAAAACACCAAACCAATATCGTTCTCAACTCCAGTGATTTGCTAACCAAATTGTGCTCAAGGCTCTTAGTTGTTAACAAGTAAGACTATAAATTTTTAATTTAATGTCATTTCCCAGCAAACTTCAATACAATGCTTAATAAGAATTCATGGCTTACTGCTTACAGGAATCAGATGCAAAATCCCATAAGAATTAAACCAAACCGCTAGGCATTGTCTTTAGAGCTGAAGCGCAGTGACTTCGAATATGTTTCGAAGCTGATGTGCCGGGGAGTTTCGGGCACTGTTATGGGTGATTTTTGGACGGATTTTCGCTGGGTTTAGAGCTGTGTTTCCACGGAGTTTTCAGCTATGTTTTTGGACTGATGGGGAATCATTTCAGGGGTGTTTTGAGGTGAGAAACAGGGTTGTTTCACAACTAGTTTTGGAGAGTGAAGAGTTAATGGGGATGTTTGCGGCTGACTCGCTGGTTGCCGGAGAAGGAAAAGGAGTCGATGCTCTTTCTCTATCGGGAATCAGAAAGAGAGATCATGGATCCCTTTATTGAGAAATCGTTGCTGTGTGATTTTGTTGAAGAAGGTGAAGAACAGGAAACGGGGTGTCGTTCTCTATTTTTTCCGTTCTCCGGCCTTTTTTTCTTTTTGTTCTCTGTGTGTTATATAGAAAGAGAATAAGCATGAAATGAAAGATTCCTCAGCTCTAATTTTTGTCCTCATTCC